TGTGTGTGTGTGTGTGTGTGTGTGTGTGTGTGTGTGTGTGTGTGTGTCTGTGTGTATGTGTGTCTGTGTGTGTGTGTCTGTCAGTCTGTCTGTCTGTCTTTGTCTCTGTGTGGCTGTGTATTCTGACTATGTGGCTGTGTATACACATTTGCATGTTTTAGGGTACACTGGTATTATCCAAAGGTGACATTGGATGTCTTCTAAGATGTATTGAGCTCGTCAATTCAGCTGCTCAAGCTAGCCAAGTGGCTTTAGGGCCACCTGGCATTTACCTAGGTGTTAGGGTCTTAAACTCCAGTCTAGCAAGCACTGTGCTCAGTAAGATGCCATCCCCTTTTTCAGTGATTGGAAACTTCAATAAAAAGTAGATGGTACAAAATGTTTGGATGATCTATGAAAATAATCCATTATTTGCATCTGTAATCTCTCAGATGCTCACAGTAGTGTGAAATAAACACATGCGGAGAGGCCACATGCACGTCCAGGTTTCAAATGACATAATAATATTTTTTGTTCCATTCAGGCTATAAAACAAAATTGTGTCAAAGATCATAATAGTAACGAATCTGCAACTTTAGTTATCAACAACAGAATCCATGTTAGCTGAATTTTTACTATAGGAATTATTACAGCAGCTCACACTCTGTCTGTGTGCATGTTGACCTAAGTCGAAGATCCACTGGCCGTTGACAAGTCAGTGCAAGACATGCTGGCACATAAACACTTGAAAGACTGCATAAGAGGATCTAAAGTCTGAGAGCAGTGTGGGCTTCATCATAAGCAAGCCTGAGCTATGTGGTAAAACCCTGTCTCAAAACCAGAAGAGCAAAAAACAAATACTAAATGGGAAACCTGAGAAGAGTGTTTATGCTTCTGTCCCTTTGAGCTTTCAAGAAACACAGTAATCCAGCAGTGAGCGAATTTCTCTGTCCGCTGTCCAGGCGTTGCGCAAGATGACAATGATGCTGAAGCAAAGCTTTAGGAAAATCCTGGCTAGCAAATGATTAATCTAGCATCATGATCTAACAAATCATTGCACTAAAATATTGTCATCTCAAAACCGCGTGTGATCATCTGACTGATTCTCAGCTATGTTCCAATCCCAGCTTACGGTCGGACAATCAGTTTCTGTTGTGTGAGTCTGGATATATGATGTCTCTAAGTGGATAGACCAACATGATGCAGTCAGAATACTGTATGGAGCACAATAAGGACACCAAAGTTGCTACAAGGAAGGCTATTTATAAACTTCATCATGAAAATACATGTCTTCACAATTTTGTAGTGCATTAGCACTTCCATTGCTTAGGCTTAATTAATTTTAAAGTGCTGGAGGTGTTGCTCAGTGGTTAAATGCTTACATACTAAGTACAAGACCCTGGTTTTGACCCTAGCACTATGATATAAAAGAATGACCCCCGTTATTTGAGCAGTTTTGAACTTAGC